TTTTTTTCAACGTTTATTTATTTTTGGGACAGAGAGAGACAGAGCATGAACGGGCGAGGGGCAGAGAGAGAGGGAGACACAGAATCGGAAACAGGCTCCAGGCTCTGAGCCATCAGCCCAGAGCCCGACGCGGGGCTCGAACTCACAGACCGTGAGATCGTGACCTGGTTGAAGTCGGACGCTTAACCGGCTGCGCCACCCAGGCGCCCCCAATGACCTTTCTTTAAGAACTGATAACTCAGAGTTGCGACTGAAGTGAGTTGTCTATTTAAGTATCAACATAGTAACACAAAGTATTCTTGACTTTAAAAAGTAAATATTCAAGACTGAAATACAGTGCAGAAGAGCTATATATATCTGCTACTTTCAACACTTTACATTTACTTTGTTGGAATTTGACAAGCACAGTACATTTAACCTGTTATTCCCAAATGAGCCTAAAGCTTAAAACATGCAAACCTTAATCCACACAGAAAAATATAATGGATACATTGATTGCATATATCCTATTCTTAGTATTTTTGAACAAATAGCTAACCAAAGGAACTGAGGATTTTTCAGCACAATCTCTCTCGTGGATGGCTACAACTATGATCTCCACACAGGAGATCGTATCAATCTTTCTACCACACACAAGCTCTGCTCTAAGAATAAGTCCTAAATTTTTAATTTGTTGGTTTTCTTTGGCCATCTTCTGGGAATCCTACAGGTTTCTCAAAAATCACTACAATATATACAAAATACAAATTATCTTTATATCAAATGTATGTTTTAAAATCTTTGTTAAACATTACTATCAATGAAACTAACATTCTCCTAATCATATTGATTTCTGACTCTGCCCATATCCCTTCAATTCATCTTGCATATATTCCCTCCCATTTCTCACTGAGACAATCTTAGTACAAACTTGCATTACTTTTCACGTAATCTACTGTACTAACTGGATTTCTGCTTCTGGATTCTCCTTCCAGAAATTTATCCTACGTAAAGAACTGGCAAAATCAGTGCCCCACCGCTCTGCTGCCTTCCTCCCTCTTCAGCCTCTTCCTCTAAACTGACACTTCCCTCCCATTAACATTGAAGCAAGCTCGGGGCGCCTGGGTGGCTCAGTCGGTTGAGTGGCCGACTTCGGCTCAGGTCATGATCGCACAGCTCGTGAGTTCGAGCCCCGCGTTGGGCTGTGTGCTGACAGCTCAGAGCCTGGAGCCTGCTTTGGATTCTGTGTCTCCCTCTCTCTCTGCCCCTAACCCACTTGCATTCTGTCTCTGTCTCTCTCATAAATAAA